AGAACATTAACATATTAAAAGTTTCAATTTACAGAGAGAGCTTAGGATGAACGACGATGGAAATGGTCTGTTGAGTTTACGTTTTTAAATTTCCTATCAATGGAGAGCATGCGAAAGGAATTGAGAGATGACTATGACTATTTTTAAAATTAGCATAATGTAAATAAATGAGAGAGAATATGCAGGGCTGGTTTGTGTTAGTATATGTACCATGTAATAACATAACTAAAATCATTATAGCTAGAAAAAACCAATGATCCTCATTCTAAGACCGTTGTTAATGAAAACAATTTGTTTTGGCTAGTGCTTCTCAAAAATAGCCTAGACGACCCTTCTATATATATATATATATATATATATATCCATTTGGGGACATCCTAGGCACGTGTCAGCTCGGCAGTATTATTGTATCATTATATTCATGCAAATATGCATTATTCTTTTTTAAATTCATATTTATGAATTTGTGGAACCATCTTTGACTGAATATCTATATATCTGATCTCTTTTCATTACTATGACTCATATTTAATTTGACGATTTATATTTTTAATATTTTTAATTTTATGATTTTATGATTTTTATTTAGTTATTTTATTATTTATTAAACTGTGCTTTAAATATTACTTTTAGGAGAGGTGATGGGACATTAGCATAAGTGCAATTATATTGAAATTTGGCAATTAGAATTTTGTTGAAACATGAACAATAGCCACTTTATATTGGTCTTTGACTAATTTTTATATTCAATAAAATCATTTGAGATTTTTTTTTTCATATTTACCCAATTTTTGATGTTAAACAATTTTTGAAGTATTAATTATAATTAGCATATGTCGTTGCATCATTTTTTAATCCGAGCACAATCACATTCTTGATAAAGACATGTGTCTAATGATATGATATTTGCTATATGATTTTATTCCAACATTGGTAAATAAATTACTAAACTAAAATGTCAATGATTTTTTCCGTATATTAGAATTATCATAGATGAATACATCATCATCGAAAATACTAACGAAAAACGAGGTTTAATTCATCAATAGATCAACAGAATGAGTCAGATTGTCAGTTTTATTTGAAAAATATTAAGTTTTTCAGTTTTGTTGATTGTTAATGTATATTTTTGTTGCCATATCTTAAATTTGTTTTCATATTTGCAGGATTGATATCAGAAAACAAAGATTGTGTTATTTGCATAAGACAATTAAATGCATTCAAAAAAGAGTAAATTATAAAAGTATTTAGACTTCAAAAAATCTTAAGCGATAAGAACGATCTTGTTAAAGTATTCTTATGTGGTGATGAAGTATTATATAATGTCAAAATTAATCAATGACTTTCTTATAGAAGTTTCATCATTAGACTAATAAAGTGGTTTTTTTTTTTTTTGAATTGTTTTCGGGGAAGTAAATTCCAAACTACGTTTAAGGACACAATCGAAAAATTCTTTTCCATGCTAGAGAAAGGAAAAGCATATTGACTTCAAAATGAAAAAAAATAAAAAAAAAAATAAGAGCAATTAGCCCTTATTCAACATTTTTACATTATGGACATAATTTATGTGTCATACCACCAATACTTAATATAAGCTAAGCATTGATGCTTATGAGATCATTTCTAATTTTTTTTAGAATTTTAATTTTTTCTTTAATAATATCAATTATCTCAATTACTTTAAAAAAATATTAATAATCCAAAAATATTACGTATGTTATTCATTCGATACATAAGATGTGCTTACTTCTAGTATTAACAATTTTATACTTCTAGTTACATTTAGAAAATAGATAACATTAACACCCTGTTTGATCCATGTTCTTTAAAAAAATTACATTATTAAACAGTATTTTGACATCATTTCAACCACATATTTTTCAATAAAATAATATTACACGCAAATTCAAAATTTTTTATTATTTTTAACTAGTATTTTTTATCAATACGCTATTCAAAAATACATTCTTATGAGAATAATGTTGCTCAAACGAGGGCTAAATAAATAATATTATCTTCTTATAAAAATTATTTTTAAACCTCTGTCAAACAATTACTTTTCTCGTAAAATTTTGGTGATACAGATTAAACATACATAAAGTTTTTATAAATTAATATAATTTAAACATCAATGCTTGAAAGATCATTTCTATATAATTAATTAAATAAATTCTTAAAATCATCCGGAAAAATGAACAAAAAAAATAAAATAAAATAAATGCAAAATGCTAATTGTAAGACTGAGGGACCAAATTCTTGAGCTAAAAACTATCTTCGATGAAGGTTTATGCTGCCACAATCGAGCCTTTAACAAAACAAACCATTTCTTTTGACTGGTGCAGGCCAATGATCGAGGGTGCCAAACGTTTTGATATTCATACATTCAGGTAATGTTCACCAGTTCAAACAATTTTCGAAGAGGAACAAACCTCATTTTCTTTCCAGGGGAACGAGGGAGCGAAAATAGGCAGCGCATGCAAATTTCTGAGTCAAGGGTTGGATCTTCTCTTTCAAATGATCCGAGGTCCGGTTTGAAGTTCAAAACCGAGCTTTTGATTTCTCTTGCCTACTTCCTACACCACACCCATCCTCATCCAGAGCAATGACGTGTCCACTGTTTCAACCGGATATCTAGTGTTCAATAATTCAATTAATATCATAATCACAATTAATATCCACTCGAATTTACAATCACTGAGCAGCAATTAGTCAATAAGTTGTAGGACCTTAACATTACATCATTTACTACTAGAAATTAAGAAAAGTTATGCAGACTTCTCATTCCAAGCCAAATTTCACCACATCCTGCCTACTGTGTCCACACTACCTCCATATCGCCCTCCCAACCCCCAATACCCAATGGGAAAATAACAAAAGAATCAAAATAACAAGGAGTGAATTATCCAAATGGTCAATGAATTTTGTAAAAGATTTCCAAGGAATCATTAAACTTTAAAAATTATCTAATTCATCACTGAATTTTGCAAAAAGTTTCCACGAGGTCACTGAACTTTAAAAAAATCACCTAATTCATCACTCCCGATAAACCTTTTGCAAAGTTCAATGACCCTGTGAAATTTTTTTGCAAAGTTCAGTGATAAATGTAGTGATTTTTAAGTTCAGCGACCCTGTGAAAACCCTTTGCAAAATTCAATGATGAATTGAGTGATTTTTAAAGTTCACTGACCCCGTTGAAACTTTTTGTAAAGTTCAATGACCATTTAGGTAATTCACTCAAATAACGAGTATAGAGTTTAAGAACATGATTTCGACAAAGCTATTTCTAAAAAACTTCCAAAACTTGGGGAAGGAAAGCAGACACAAATGTTCAAGGTATAAGCTATACATACAAATGTATGCCTTACACGGAAGGTTTAATTTTTTTATTTATTCAATTTCCTTTCAAGAGAAAGAATGACATAATTCACATTAAATAAAAATTGAATTCCTTCCTACCAAGTTGAACAACTTCAAAGAATGAATTTTTAGTGTCATGAAACTTCGTAGAAGAGAAGAATTAAAACAAAAACAGGAAAGAAAAACTAGATTTGAAGCCATGACCATAACAAGTTACAACAATCTTACCTGCATCCAATTCTGGTGGTATTCAATGGCAGATCAAAATTCTACACAGAATTCTTGTCCAAAGTGGTTTTATATTCATCTCTTATTTCATCATCAACAGTATTCAGAATTGGTTGAGTTTATCCGCACGAAAATGATTATCCTAATACCGTTTATGAACATGGGCAAAGCCGCAAATTCATATCCGTGACTGGATTCAGTATTGATTGAGTTATCTAAATGGAGATAATGATATCTTAAGAATTCTTATGAACATAGGGAATAATCCAAAATTATTTATCACGCTTCAAGGAACTAAATCAACTGCAAATATTTTTTAGTCAATAACTTCTCAAACATAGTTTTGCAGAATTGGCAAGCAAGGAAAAAAATCAATTATAAAAGCAAATTCCACTCTATTGAAAATGAAACTCTTAAAATCATCAAATTCATATTTACAACTGCCATTTGTAATTTATCAAGGAACTAAACTTCTGGAACCAATTCTTTCAGATGAGTATGAAGCATCGCGAAAGAGAAAAGGTTACACAAAGGCTAAATCTGGTCACTCTTCCTTCACCTCTACAAGTTACTGCAGATAATACCTTCAAATGCCATCGAAAAATTTGGAAGTGAAGCACAGTCTATCCTTTATTGCATCTATCCCTGCATACAGCATAGTGATTCTCGATAAGAAAAATCAATCAAACTAACTCAACAATTATGTATTCGAACCGATTTGCATTATTCAAGACCGACCTTTAGATAAGTTTCAGATGGTGTATGAATCAGGAGTTATTGATGTCAACCACAATCCAGGAAACAGACTCTGCAAATAAAATTAGGTAAGTGAACTGATTAATTCAATAAAAAGGAAAGGAAAATTTTGCAACTGGAACAGTTTTAACAAATCAGAGATTATATTTTCTCTTACATCGAGATGTTTCTGGATGTGTCTTTCTCTCTTCTTAGGCCTCCTCGTCGGCTTTGATCCAGTCAAAATGAAAACATCCTCCTCGATCTCCTCTTTTGAGATTGCGATCCAAATGCTCAGCTTCCTCTTCTCCTTCTTTTGACCACCACCACCATTTGCTTCATTCTCTCCCAATCTATTACTTGAATTCCTTAACGGTGAATGAGTTTTCTTATCTTGCATTGATGACCCGTTAATCTTTCCGTTCAATCCATTAAGAGACTTGCAGATTGGTTTTCGTGGTCTCAAATTCCATGTCTTGGGTTCTCCTTCATTATTATTTATTTTACCCTCCTCATCATTAACATCACGATCATCGTCAAGATTATTGTTGATCTTTTGTGGTTCTTCTTTCTGATTTTCCTCCGATTCATTTTCGCGCAAGATTCTCGATCTCTTTGCACTTGCATCAGCTTCTTCTACCTTCCGTTTTTTCTCTGACTTTTGAATAGCTTGATCAAGATTAGTCATGTAAAGCCCGTTTCTATTATTTTCAGTTGCCGAATCCCCAACATGATTCCTGTGGTACTCAATCAAAACACTTTTATTCGTCCTGGAAACCTCGGATTCGACGGCTAAATTGTGTTTCGGAGATTGTTTCACCGAGTCCCCAGACATCGGAGACTGCTTCACCGAATTGCGAAGAGGAGATTCACCGCGCAAAGGAGAGTGCTTCATTAAATCATCACAAACTGATGACGATTCGCCCAACGAAGCCTGTTGCGACTGCACCAGCATAACCGAAGCAGACTTGCCCAGAGGAGACTGGTGCGGTGGCTCTCGAAGCGGAGAACCGGAAGATGGATGAGATTCGCAAGAATGAGACTTGATGGAGCGGCGGCGGCGGTGGCCGTTGGAGTGGTTGTGGTTATCCTTGTTCCATTTCAAGCGCGGCAAGGCGAAGTTGTGCAGCGCCGGAGACTTGGCCGGAGCCAGAGAAGCCATAAAAAATCCAAACGAAATTCCGATCGCCGTTGACAATAGGTATAGATTATCAAATATATATTTAATTATTTACGCAGAGAGAGGTGGCTTGAAGCGAAGAATAAAATGGCGTAATATATACTTCAGTCTATGAAGAAGGTGGGTATTTACGTGACTCTTGACTTTACCCCTTTTGCTGAATTTATAGGTATAAGAAATTATTATTTTTTATTTTAATTTTTTGCTAAAACGTCCAATGTGTTTAATGAAACAAGAGTAATGCTATTCATAATCGTTCACTGTAATAATCGTCATATATGGCATCCTACGTGACGGTTAGTAATTTGATATATACCATACATTATATTTCAAATCACTAACCGTCACTCGTATGTCATGTAGGACAACTGCGATAGTGAGTAATTACAAATAACATTATTAATCAAATAAACATATATAGGGAATTGTTCACGGTGTCAGCACCTGTATAGTGTCGGTTTTTACGTTGTTTTGAGTGAAATTCTACCATGTGTCTACGTGTAAAAAAATTCTGTGAAATCTGTCTGTACGTGTAGTATGGTTCAAACATATATTCCTTTTTTTTCCTTTTTGTAAAAAAAAAAAAATGAAGAAAATAACAACAAACTTAGCAACTATGGCTCTCTCTCAATATTTTTGTATATATTCACCCCCATTAGTTTTACTTTAAATTACTTATTAATTAATTTAAATTTTTTGAAGAGTGATTTTATAAAAAATAACCTTTTTTTTTTTAATTGGTCATCAAATTTAACGACTGAAAATTTTATTCTAAAATCAGATTTGTTCTATTCTGCTGTCCATTTTTTCAATCAATTACATTACTTTAATAACATTGTCGTATATCAAATAAACTCCCTCTTTGGTGAAAATTAAAATTAAGATTTTAATTTATGTGAAAGCCAACAATTAATTTTAACAGCACATTTCATAGGATTAATAATTTTTCAACCATATATTTCATCAAATTTTATTAAAACTTACGAAAAATTTGAGTTTAATCCTTACCAAACATGGACAAAATATTTTCAAATAAGTAAAGCCAAACTGCTTCAGAAAATTCATTCATTACGCCCATTTCCTATTTCCATTTCCATGCCTCAGATAAGTAGATAAAACACCATTATCTATTACGATATGTTAGTGTCTCTGTTGCCCTTGGCCCTTATGTTTTCTGATTAAATTGAGTCAAATTATTGCTTGTTTTAGTGAAAAAACTACATAACTTCTTAGGTAATCTCTCTACAAAACGACTTTCCCAAAAATTTAGAGTGTAGTTGGTTTAGTTTTCCACTTTCCATTTTCAGATTTAAAATGATTTTTAGTTTTTCTCTAAAACGGCGCGTTTTGAGTGTTTTCCACGTTTTGAGAATTTATAACTGAAAACACTCAAAATGACAAAAAATTGTTTGTGTTTTCAATTATAAATTTTAACTCGTTTTCGAAAAACGATGGACCAAACTCGTTTTTTGCGTTTTCGAAAACGAAAAACGAAAAATGGCCCTAAAACGCCAAACCAACCGTAGCCTTAATAGCTGAGATACTCTACTCAACATATGAACTTTTTGTCATTATGATCGACTATTAAAAACATGTCAAGTCAAACTCTCCACTTGCCCCCAATGGTCGTCGCAGATATTAACATCATCGATTTTGCTACAAGTACAGAAAAAATTGATAGAATTTGTATACAGAAACACTTGGCAGATTTTCGTTGATTTTTGATATAACAAACACAGAAATTGCACCATACAGATGCTGCCAATTCAACACTTGTATCATTTCTGTCAATAATTCCATGTACCTATGGAATTATTCTTAACATCATACTAAGGCGCGGTATGTGATAACTAGACATATTATATTTAAAATTATTTTTTGTAAATATTAAATTTATTTTTCGCAAAATTCATAATCATATTGAAGTTGCTTTTACTTATCCATTGTAAAGATCTATAAAGGTTGTTATTTTTATTTTTTGAAACGCTATAATAGCTTGTTTGTCTCCCACTATGAAAGAAATTATAGAGTTTTGAATAGTATTTTTCAAAAATATGTGGTTAAATTTTTTTTAAAAAATTATTAGTTTTTATGTAGAATATTTTATTGTGTAAATATGTGGTAGAGAATGTTATTGTAGTAAACAATTTAATTTGTAAAGATTTTTTGAGGAAAAAATATTTTCTGAATAGTAATTTTTTGATAGAATGTATGATTAAAAAGTAAAATACAAATTGAGTTTATATTATAAAATAAATTTTTATTAGAATGTATGATTAAAAATAAGTTTGAGAAAAAATAATAGACAGGGGTTTAATTAACAACTTAGCTTGCTTAGTCTAGTAATTAGGGTTAATTTCACAGACGATTAATGAACTTGCCTAAAAATTACAAAACAATCACTAAATTTACAAACTTATAGAAACGATCACTGAAATTTATAGCGCTTTTACAAACGGTAATTGAAGTTTAGACAATTGTTGGAAGATTATTAAACTGAATGATTTAACCCCAAAAAACTTCATATTTCTTTATTATTCAGTTCAACATATGGTACATAATAGACATAAATTTGTTCTAGTCACATATATTTATTACAGTCGAAAAATAATGAATGATTTTCTCAACTTAAATATAGATTATAGTCCATAATTCTTGTTCCAGGTTAAAAATCCAAGTATTTGTTAATTATAAGTAAATATTAAAAATAACAAACTAAAAAGAAATAAGGTATGCAGTATGACAATCTTTACAACTTTATATTAATCAATGAATTAACGACAACGTCATCATTTAACGTCGTCACGTCACCAATTTATGCTACCAACTTGAACCCGTTTGGCTCCCATTAAACCTCACCAAATTAAATTAAAATTTTCTCTTTCACATTTTCAACCACATAATTTTCAATAAAAGAATATTACACATAAATCGAAAACTTTTCATACTTTTACAATCATCCATTTTTCAAAAAAAAAATAAAATAAATAAAAATACTATTCCCTCATTATAATCAAAATTAATGGGGGCCAAATGGGGGCTTAACGTAGTGGCCGTTAGTGAAAGCACTATAAACTTCAGTAACCGTTTCTTCAAGTTTGTAACTTCAGCAATCGTTTTGTAATTTTTAGGTAAGTTCAGCTACCGTTTCTGCAAGTTTGTAACTTCAGTGACTGTTTTGTAATTTTAAGGTAAGTTTAGTGACCATAGTAATTAAAACCTAATGGATAGGAATATTCAGGATTTTGGGAGGACAAATGCGTCATGTTACACCTGGAAAAACCCTTGATATAGCGCCGCCAGGCGTCATCTCCCGATCAGTTATCTCTCTCTCCCCCTTTCCGCTACCCATGGCTCAACTGGAAACACAAATAAACCCTAATCCTAGCCCGAATCCGAACACTGATACAAGTCTTCTAGTAGCGTCAGAACCATTTCCGGATCATCCGCCGTCTTCGGCTACGGTGACGTCTGATCATCCAAGCGGTTCCACTACTGATGTTAATACTAGGAACAATCTCAAAAGGCCTCGCGAAGAGGATACGGTGGTAGATGATGCGGCGGAGACTTCAACCGATGTTCCGGCACCCAAGCGTCGTGTGAAGGCGACGCACGACGTTATATACCGCATCGTGGTGCCTTCGAGACAGATCGGGAAAGTTATAGGAAGAGTGGGGCATCGTATTCAGAAGATTCGCGAAGATACAAAAGCCGCTATTAAGATCGCCGATGCCATTTCTGTGCGTAAATAGCGTTATCTTGATTGAATTTTGTTTTTCATTGTGTATCGTGATAATCTTTGATAAATTGGATCCAACAGTTACCTGTTCTGGATAGAGAAGTTGATTTTTACCTCTGACCGTGTATTGCTATTTGCTTCCAAGGAAGATAATAATAATAATAATAATAATAATAAAATTGAGGTAATTTGAAATGCGGAGGTAAGGATAGAAGGGGAATTTGTTTAGTCATTAAATTTATGAATTAGGTAAATACTCTTAAGTGGAACTTTGGGAAATTAAAATGTTCTTAATTGTTAACCTTATGTTTCTAAGTGGAGAAAATAATATAAGGATTTAATCTTTTAATGATTTCTTACCATATAAAATAAATGTAGATGAGATGGGAAGGAAGAAACATAGTATGATCGAGCAATTTTAAGAGTAAATTGTAACTGAAAAAGTGAAGTGGAACCTTTGGTGTGAAGCGGAAAGGGCATTTTGAATTTTAAGATCCATGCAGTTGTGGATTAACTAAGTATTTGCATTTCTAGTAATGATAAAGTTTGAAGTAAAACAAGAGAAAAAGGAAGGTATGAAGTAATTATAGTCTCTCAGCTGCAGAGAAGTTTATGTTGGAAGATCATTGCATGTTATTTCAGATGATCCCGTTTGCTAGTTAATTAACCTTAGTATGTAAAAGACATTTTTGAAATATAAGATAAGAGTATGATGTGCGACATTCTTGAGTATTGTTTGGCTGAGTAGTATTCTTTAATAGGCTAATGAACTAATGTCAAATTCTGGATTTTATTTGCTTGTTCTGCTCAACATTTTTACTCGACATTTTTTTTGTACTTATCCATATTATGCATTATTTCTACAGTAGATTTTCCTGATGTTTGTTCAATTATCTGATATTAATATGCGATAGTTCAATTTACTTTGTGTTTTACAGCGACATGAAGAGCGAGTGATCATTATAAGTTCTAAAGACAGTGACAATGTATTCTCTGATGCAGAAAATGCCCTTCATCAAATTGTTAGTTTGATCCTCAAGGTAATGTGGTATACAGGACAGACCTTTTCTCTATTGTTAAATGCGTGCTTAGTTGGGGGGAACCTAGTTGACTAACCTTAATTGAAAGGCCAACCAGTGTGTTTTACTTGTTAAGTTGAGAAATGACTATTCTATTTTAGGAGACAAAGACACGCCTAATTATATATGAATCAATTTTTTTATTTTCTTAAAGGGAAATATCAATCAATTGGGACAGAGTAAATTCATCTAGACTTTATTATTCTTGAAAGGATGCAATTTTCCCTTCTTAGCCAGTAAAAGAATTTAAAATTTGTCATTATATCCCTAAGGGCTAAAAGCAATCGCCCTTGTTATATTTTGAAATTAGGGCA